ACCGAAAAACTTTAGACACACACACACACACACACACACACACACGAGAAAGAACCGTTATGCCATATCTGACTTATTGTAAGCATAATATAAATAATTATTGTTGTTTCCCAATCTAACACAAACCCAAAAAATCATACACGCACACACACACACACGCACACACACACACACGCACACACACACACATAAACAAACAAACTAAACAACTCGAACAAAATTTATGTATAATAAAGAAAACAAGAAAACACAAAAAAGAAAACAATCTAAGACAAAACAAAAAAAAATAAATACAAATTGTGTGAGTTTCGCTAAAACGTCTGCCCCTCCAACCTTGAATCATTTGTTCAGATCATCTCCAACAACAAGCACACCCACGACCCCCGGCGGTTCAGCACAACCGTTATTCAAATTTACCGATCCGGCATTAAATGCGCGCGCCGCCACTGTCAAGGATCAACTTCTGCAGTGGTGTCAGCACAAAACGCAGGAATATGAGGTATCCAAATCCTAAAAAATACCACCAAATACCAACAAAAAAAAAAAAAAACGAAAAATACCAACCAAAAATGAAAAACAGCCAAATGCAAACGCAAAGCCACAGCCACATAGACCGTTATTTGTTGCCTTTTCTTTGTTATTATTGATATTTTTGTTTTTTTTTTTTTTTGTTTTTGATTTTGTTTGCTCTCGATTGACTTTTTTTTGTATTTGTATTTTTACTGCCGTTCCGTTTTCATATTGCAAATAATGTTTAACAAAATCTAACGCCAACAAAAAAAAAGAAAAAAAAAAAAACAAAAATCAAATAACCAAAACAAAAGCGTAAATACAATAACACAACAACGCCTAACCGCTGGCTGAGCTTTTGAGCAACACTCATCCACACATGCATACACACAAACACACACACACAGACACACAGACACACAAACACAAGCAAACACGCAACTAGAAAGAATGAAAACAGTTATAAGCGCACGCAACAGCCTGCGATTGGCTGGAAGTCGTGCGGCCGAAGTCGAAGCAGAGGAGTAAGAAGCAGAAGCGCAGCTTTTACTCTCATTCAAAAGTAACCGTAAACGTTGCTCATATACACTGCTTTTAATTCGTATTATTATAATAATTATTAATATAATTACTATTGTTGTTGTTGCTGTCGTTGTTGTTCTTGCCATTTGCTTTTTGGGGCTGGAGCTTACAGCAAATAATACTACAAAAAAAAAAAAAAAAAACAAACATTGCTTTATTGCTACTGCGCTGTCGCTGCTGCTGCTGCTGCTGCTGATAATAAAAAAGAAAACATTTTAAGTTCAAAGCTGAGCTGTTTTATGCCCGCTCAATCCAACGCCCCAAATGCCCCGCCTTCTGCCCGTTTAAACAGAAAAACATCACTTATTACAATTTGTTTCATCCCGTGTTATTCGCAGAACGTCCAAATAAGCAACTTTAGCTCGAGCTGGTCAGACGGCTTGGCCTTTTGTGCGCTGATACATCATTTCTTGCCAGATGCATTTGACTACAGTAAACTAACTAAACAAACTCGCAAACACAACTTTGAGCTGGCCTTCAGCGTGGCTGAGTAAGTCTGTCTTGCCGTTTAACAACACTGGCCAGCTGTTAACTAATCTCTCTCTCTCTCACTCTCTCTCTCACGCACCCGCTCTCGCTCTCTTTAGCGAGAAAGCTGGCATTGCGCCCTTGCTGGATGTGGAAGACATGGTGGAGATGAGCCGGCCCGACTGGAAGTGCGTCTTTGTCTATGTGCAGAGCATCTATCGGCGTTTTCGCAATTGCCAGTAAAAGCAAGAACAACAACAACAACAACAACAACAACAACAACAGCAGCAGCAGCAGCAGCAGCGCGTGGCCTACAACAACAACAGCAATAACTGTTCATTAAATTTTAAGCAAAAGAGAAAGAAAGAAAGAATGAATGAAAGAAAATGTAAATGCAGGCCCCTCTTCAGGCAAATTTGTAGACCTTTTGGCATTTGGCGTTGGAGCACACGCATCCCACATAACTGTATCCCATATAGATACCCTATAAAATAACCCAACATTTTTGATATACTACATGTTTTAACCACAAATGGCAGGCTCGTCGCATTGAACAGCTAACGGGACATTTGTACGTTTTTTGTGTTTGTTTTTTTTTTTTTTTAATATTTTTTTTGTCTTTATATGATTATTTTACCAATATTTTTTTTATTACGATTATTATTATCATTATTATTATTATTATTATTTGTTATTGAACCTAAATACTTATGCAATAATTGTTGAATTTTTTTTGTCATAATCTTAATTATAAATGGAGATAAAATGGAGCAAGGCGCAAAGTTTACTAACCCCGCTGAGTTTTGATAAGTAAGAGCGAGAATCGATTCTACGAGCATAGAACTCAATTCCCCTCAGCCCCTACCCCTCTACCAGCGTAAATACTACTCAATCTTTGAAGCGAGCGAAATTATACGAACAAATTACTAACTCGCAAGCGAAATGCGATATCAACATAATAATATTATTGTATCTACAGCTAATATTAACATTGAACAAAAAAAAAAAAATACAAGAAAAAAAAAACAAACATTCGCTTACATGTCTTTTTATTGATCGAATGTTTAAAATAATTTTTTAAAGCAATTTTAAAGCTTTTTTTTAAGAGTTTCTTTATTTTTATAAACAACAAAAACTATTTTTTTAAAGTTGCAAAAAGTTGCATAAAAGAGTTGATAAATTCGAAAAATTTAAAGGGTATCATACCGCACATATTTGTATAATTGACAGATTGTATTTATATTGAAGCATTTCCAAGCCACATTTTTACAGGGCATTCAATACTCAAGATTCTTCATCTTGTGTTTATTTTAACAGTTATATGTCTTTTAGTTTGTTCATGTTTATACCCTGCAACCATTGTAAATGGGTAAACAGGGTATATTTGTTTTGTGCAAATGTGTGCAACAAGCAGAGCATCTTCTTGTTCTGGACAACGAGCCGAGCCGAACTACTCGCGTTAAAGATAGAGACTTGAATTTGCAAAAGCTATATATATCGATATCTCCTTCCATATCCAGATCGATAAGAATCGATTTTAAGTCACGGTAGTTGGTAGTAGGGTATCTGCTAGTCGGGCACTGCCAACAAGCGCACTCTTATTCGCATTTCGAATGAGATATGCTAAATTGTTGCTCCAATATATGTCTTAGGACTGTCACCAGCCATTGCAACAACATAACCTTAACAATGTGAATGAAATGCGCGCATTGTGAGGTTATGTTGAGCAAAGTGAGGTTATGTATTGTATATATATTTTGTTGGAAACTGGCGTCCAGATTGAATTGATGTGTTTAGTTGGCATGAGAACAGCTGTCAGGTGGAGAGCTGTGAAACATAACCGAAACGAATCTCAGCCGTGCTGTGAAAGTCTAACGTTAAGTTTTGTGTAAAATGTCCAAACAAAATTACGTGTGAAATTCGTACATCAAAATTTAGTTCGTTACGCGCACACAAAGTCTATACATAACCACCAAACCCACCACACCAAGCGCAACTCCCCACATCCTCAGCCTGGATTACTGCAGAACGCGGTCTGTTGCGCATTGAAGCAGGCATGGCACAGCAGCAGGAGCAGCAACAGTCGCAGCAGCAGCAGCAGCAGCAGCAGTCGTCGCAGCAGCAGCAGCAGCTATCGGAGGCGACCGCCTTGCGGCTGCTCAACAGCGTTGTGGCTGGCGCTGTCACGCCCCAAATATTGGCAACGCCCCACCACGTCCAGATGCAGAATCCAAGCGAGGCGGCCGGCACGTGTGGCATAGCTGGGGGCAGCAACGGTGGCGGCGGCAGCGGCAGCGGCAGCGACAGCGGCGGCGGCAGCGGCAGCGACGGTTGTGTTGATGCCACACAGCTGGGACTCGTATTGCCAATATCCGGGCCGGGTCAGGCAATGCAGGAGAGCGTCCACTCGGCCAATGAGTTTGGCAATTCGTGCCGCATTTGTCGCTGGAATCGCAGCGACATGGAGATCATCAACTGTCCCTGCAAGTGCAAGGGCAGCGTGGTAAGTTCACCACGAGTGAGAGAGAGAGAGCGAGAGAGAGCGTGCGAGAGAGGCAGAGTAACTGTTTCATTGCAGGGCTATATACATCTGAAGTGCCTGAAGCGTTGGATAATGCACAGACGGGACAATCGCTGCGAGATCTGCAATGCCACGTTCAACATAACCGCGGATCGGGCGAGCGTCAAGCAAATGGTGCGCGCCTTCTGCTGCGGCCGCTGCTGCGGCATGATCGTGAAGCATGTGCTGTTCAGTGCATCGCTAATGCCGCTCGCCCATGTCATACTGCAGCAGGTGAGCGTTAGCAGCAGGTGGCAGCGTTTGTGGCAACAGCTGCTAATTGGAGCGATCGATGCTTATTTGCGATTCTTTACTTGTGTACAGGTGCTGCATTGCATGGATAATCTAAATCAGGGCAGCACCGAACAGCTAACGGTACAGGAGGTATTTGTCGCCTCCTGTGCTCTGCTGACGTCCAGTGCCCTATTCTTTCATTTCTTTGAATTTGTGACGACACGCTTCCTGCTCATACGGAATATACTGCGACATTGGTGGATGTTTGGCAGCACCAATGATTTTGGCCTGGTGGAGGTTGAAGACGATTCCTTTGACCTGTTTTAGGGTTAACAAAAATAAACCACAAAATGAAGAAGAAGAAGTAGAAGCGAGAAGAGAAGCAAGAAGAATACAATAACAGGCGAAAAGTAAATCAAGGCAGGCAGCTTCTCTCTTTTGGATGAATTTATCAAATAGGTTGTTTGCATTCCCTTCATATACTGGTGTGGGCCGTATTATTAATGCCTTTTCTTTTTTTTGCTTTCAGTATAATCAAAATTGTGAAGCTTATCAATAAAACAAAGACTCACAGAACGGCATTCGGTTGAAAACCATGTGACGTTGCACTGCACTGCAAATCGATACGAGTGACAGGCACAGCAGCGTTACGTATGCAGCAGCAGCCACTGATTCAATAAAAAAAAAAAAAAAAACTAAAATATATTGGATTTTAAAATGAAGTACTTACTAAAATTTCAAATTCGACGGTTAGTAGGCCGTTAACGCACAACTGCGCTAGTTAACGCATAATTGCGCTATGTTAACGCACACAAGTTGGCCTGCTGTTACGTGACAGCGCACTGTTAGATGACAGCAAATATCGATAGGCTGGCAGTTTGGTAAGCTGGCGATTCCTGCTGCTATTGTTGTTTGCTGCTATCATCCCCAAGTCAAATAATAAAAATTTTTTTGGCATAAAATCGAAACATAAAAAAGAACATCAATTGCAATACTTGCAACGGTGCAAGAAGTGCAGCAGGCGGGCAGTTTGACGTGCAATTTGGTACATGTAACAACAATTAAATGCATTCAATATTGTGTAAGTGCTCAAAAAATTAAAAAACAAGCAAACAAATCAAATTCAGCAAGTTTTTTTTTTGGACCTGCTGTGCGTATCGTGTGATTGCTGTATGTGAGAGTGTGTGTGTGGCTCTGTGTGCTTGTGTGTAACAAAGAGCAACTTGTCTCAGGCAGCAGCAGTGAAATTGACCGCAGGTGCCAAGCACTGGGCAGCAGCAGCAACAACAACAACAAAAAAAGAAAGGAAAAACGAAGAACGTCTCAAAAGAAAGTGAAGTTAGCGCAAGTGTCATCCGCTGCTGCTGCTGCTGGCTGCTGCTGCTTTGGTGTTGTTGTCGCTCTGTTACTGTTGCCAGCCAGCCACAGTGCGTGCGTGCGTGCGTCACTGCAACTTATTGACAGTTATAATTTAGCTTTCGACGGGCACTTGTGGCAAAGCCTAATTTGTAAAATTAACATATATTCGTTCTTTTAACTTATTTTTGCGCCACAGAGATCGACAACTTGTTCCCCCCCACCCCCCTCTCGTGCGCGACAGGTTCTTTTTTTTTTTTATACATGCTAAAGCAGATTTTGTTTAGCAATTTAAGCCCAAAGAAACTAAGTGAGCTACATAAACAATAAACAACAGAAACAGAAAGACAAAAAAAATATACAAAACAAAAACAAAACAAAACAAAAACAACAAGAGCAGCAAAATGGCTGCACAACAGCAGCTATTGGCTTTGATGTCATCGGCCTCCGGGCACAACAACAACAACAGCCCCGAGCCACTGTACGATCTGTCATTGATGGCCGTTGTCAACGGCCTGGACTGCAAAGTGCCGACACTGGAGCGCATTAGCAAGCTGCCGGAGCTGCCGCGCAATCTGCTGATCGATGTCTACGAGCTGGTAAGTTTTTGCTACTCAAAAGAAAACAAAGTGAAAACGCACGCAGAAAGAGGCTGCAAAAAATAATGAATAACAAAATCAGCTGCGACGCATGCACGCACACGCAAGCAACTGTCTGTGTGCGTGTGTGTTTGTGTGCGTGCTGCTTATCGCTGCGCTGCGCGCTGTTACGGCACTTTCTTGCCGTTTCTCTTATTTCTCTGGTTCGCGCAACAGGACAACACAATTTTTGGTGTTTTGTTTTGATATACAGTTAGGGGAATTTCATTTGTTTGAGCTACAAAGAAACCGAAAAGCTCGTGCCAAGCCAAAAGCTTTCCACTGTTTATGTTTACGCGTAGAAGCTTCTGGTAAACGCGCACAGCTGGCACGACCGCAACTGTATGCGTGTGTGTGTGTGTGTGCGTGTGCTTGTATGTATGTATGTAAATCATGTCTGAAACCACATGGCATTAGATATCATTGACATAGCTGTGCGATATGATATCTTGAATAAACTGTTGTTTATACACTCTATCTTAATTTAAACAACATTCGCTGCGTAAGGGCATGTACACTTCGGCATTGCTCGCATGCCTCAACACACACGCACACACACACACACACACGCACGCTTGTCATAATAGCTCTGCAATTACAATATAAATTATTAGCAGTAGCGACCACAATGTGGCCGCAGCAGCTGATGATGCTGCCTGTCGCCGGCTAAAAATAGCGCATTCGCGCTGTCGGTGCGCTCGTTTGACGGGCATCCTTCTGGGGCGCAGCCATTCAACCCGGCTAGTTATCAGCTCTGCAAAATGGCCGTCCATGACTGTTATGGGGCCCGCTGAGATCCGCTTTCAAAGCCAGTGTTGTGCAACTATATCGCAACAGGAGCTAGTATAGCTAAGTCTAAGTCTAGTCTTAAGATCATAAAGCTTGTTGACATAAGCTCACAGTGTTGTGCAGCGAGCTTTGCTTGGATTAAGCAATAGTACTTACTCCACGCTCTTTCAGTTTTGTCAACACTGGCTGCTTTGCCTTACTAAACACTAGATCATTAAGCTACTAATCCTTTAGCTAATCCGATAGCTTAAGTTACGCAGCATCTTGCTTTCAACAGTGGCTCCTTTACCTCTCGGCTGATATTTGTGGGCTTCATGACAGTCCTATGACTCGCATTTAGCCCCATTTAAAACTAGTGATGTGCAAGAGATAGCCTTACAATATTTTGACAGCTCTCCCATTCCTGCTTTCGAGCACTGTTTCCTTTTCGTCTTGGCTTCGTGCACGGGTATTATGATTTTTAATGCTTCACAGTCAAAATCTCGTATTTCTCTCTTAATTTTCCCACAAAAAGGTTGTTTTTAAACACTGGCTACTTTTATTTTCGAATCGCTCTCGTACAATAACGCATCATCATGAGCCCTAACTCAAAATGTAGTAATTTTTACATTTCTTTGACAACACTGCCTTTTCGCAAAGCCTCGTTCTCATTTGTTTACAATGCATGACATAAGCTTAAAGTGCCAGTGTTGTGCAACACATCAAAGATCTGGCATTCACCCAGCAGCCGCATTCATTTCCCACACTATTTGTCAACTAATAATTGTGTTTTTATTTTTTATTGCTGATCTCGTTTGAAAATAATACAGAGTCATGCCATAAGCTTAAAATGACGCAGCACTCAAAAGCAGTGTTGTGTAATAGCACACCTCTCCCTGATTTAACAGCATCTCTTGCACAGCCGTCACTTTGCATTTTCCCACACTAATTTGCTTCGTTCTCGGCTAAATTTTGCATGCTCATGACAATAGCAATATCTGTTGGTGCACTCAAAGTCAGTGTTGTGTAACAGTGCAAATATTTTGACAGCAAACGATAAATCGCAGAATATAAAGGCTTCCACAATATTTTATGCGATTGTAGTTGAATCATCTAAAATCTCATGTAAAGAAGATAAGAGTCCGATCGGACACAGCTTTGGTCCCCATTTTTGTACCTAGGAGTAATGGATTTTGCGAAAGTGTAAAAAAACACCTTAAATTTTTTACAAAGAACTTTAAAAACAAGTTGTAGGCAGATGGGATGTTGGACAATAATGTTTCATACAACTGTTTTCCGCCGTCTTTGCGAATCCCCACAAAATAATAAAACCAAAAAAACTGAGCTTTCAAGCTCTTAAAGTTTGGGCACCGATCAGTTATTCAGTCGGGACAAACTGTTTTATTGATATAAAGATTAAAGTGCAGATATAATAGCTTAAATGATAAACATAAAGAGCTTCTAGCTCAATATGACTTAAAGCTCAAATGTATAATATTGTTAACAATTGTCAGTTAAGATGCTTAGAGCTTTGAGCTTTAAGGGAACTTTATTGTTCTTACTGTCACTTAAATCTCAAAGCTCTACAATTTTAATGGAGCTCAACTTGACTTACAGCTCAAATACACAATGATCAATTGACTGATGCCATTTATGTGCAGCATTAAAGGCTCATTATATTTAATTACAAAGAGCTTTGAACTTTAAAAGAGCTTTTACATAATAAAGCTCACTTAAAGCTCCCTTAAAGCTCAAAGCTCTTACCATCTGCAATATTAGTCGATCTATGATCACTTTTATTTTCGCGCTAATTGACTTCTTTTTCAGATGTCACAGCGCGAAGATCTGAAGGATACACTCTTGGAGGAGCTGTCCAATCTGGATGTATTCCGTCCACTCGTACGCTACACATCGGCGCGCGGCAAGCTGCTGCGCATTGTCGCCGCATTGATGGCCAGCAACAAGACGCTGCCGCATCGCCTCAGCGAAGCCTACGTGGGCCGCTATGCTCTGTCCCAGACAGAGGCACAGTACAATGAAGAGGCCGATGGCGATGGCGATGGCGATAAGGCGGGGGCATTGGCAACTGCAGCCGGAGCTGCAGCTAAAGCCGAAGCTGGAGCTGGAGCTGGAGAGGCCGCCGCCTTGCTGCCGCAAATTGACTATGATAAAACGCAAATTATTGACATTGCCGCCAGCTGCCTGAGCCACATGACTCTCAGCGACAAACAGACAGCAGCTGCAGCTGCAGCTGGAGCCGGAGATGGAGCTGGAGATGGAGCTGCCGGCGAATCAGTGCCAATGGAAGCGCTGCCCGATGAGGATATCATGGCCATCGATTTGGGTCTGCGTCTGGGCAGCTTTCTGTCCGTGGCCGGCTGGATGCAGGAGAGCATTTCAGTGTTGTCCTGCCTCAACGAAAGACTGAAACGCATGCGGCCCTTCAAAGATGAGCTGGTCTTGCGTCTCGATTGCCTGCAGCGGTAACAGAATAATCTATCTCTCTCTATCTACTTTGTGAACAGAATTTGATAACAATTTCATATATTTTTGCAGCCTGCTCTACGCAGAGTCGTCGCATTGCAACTTTAAGATGGCCCAGAAGACCTTTGGCGAACTGATGGAGCTCAACGGCATGCTGACGGATGCGGTGCCGGCGGCCCTGATTGCCATGGCCTATACGCAAATCTCGTCCATGTACTTTGCCCGCAACGAGTACAACAATAGTCACATGTGGAGCGTGCAGGCCATGCGCCACTTGGAAATGTCCGCGCCCACACGGTACGCTGCAACACAAGCTAGCATACACACATGCATACACACACATACACACACACACTCATACACAGAGATATCTAGAATATGTGCTGATTTCTTTAATCAATCTCTCCCAGCGTTGCCATCGATGTGCTGCGACAGGCGGCCAAGGCCTGCGTGGTGAAGCGTGACTTTGCACGCGCCAATTTGCTCATCTGCCAGGCGGTGCGCCGAGCCCGGTAAACGAAACAATCAACTCTCTCTCTTTCTCGCTCTTATTCACACTTAATCTCTCTCTCTCTCTCTCTGTCGGTCTCGCGCACAGCGAACAATTTGGGCCCAATCATCAGAAATACGGCGATGCACTGCTGGATTATGGTTTCTTTTTGCTGAACGTCGACTCCGTTTTTCAATCGGTAAAGGTCTACAAGGAGGCGCTGGCCGTGCGTCGCGGCATCTTTGGCAACATGAACTTTCATGTGGCAATTGCCCATGAGGATCTATCGTATGCCTACTATGTCCATGAATATAGCACTGGCGACTTTAGCTTTGCGCAGGAGCATGTCGACGAGGCTGTGCACATCATGAAGAATCTGGTGCCGAGCAATCATCTGATGTTGGCATCGGCCAAGCGTGTTAAGGCCCTGCTGCTGGAGGAGATAGCGTTGGATAAAATTGCCGATGGCATGGGTGATGACGATCTGCTCGATCAGTCCGAGGAGCTGCACAATTTTGCACTCCAACTCTCGCTGGAGGTGTTCGGCGAGGTGAACGTGCAGACGGCCAAGCACTATGGCAATCTGGGGCGGCTATATCAGACCATGAATCGATTCGAGGAGGCCGAACGTATGCATCAGAAGGCGATCAAGATCAAAACTGACCTGCTCGGCCCCTACGACTATGAGGTGGGCCTGTCCATTGGCCATCTCGCCTCCCTCTACAACTATCAGATGAAGAAATTCCGTCAGGCCGAGGATCTATATCTGCGCAGCATCGATATAAGTGAGCAAAAAGTTGTTTTCTCTTCCGTCTCGTTTCTATTACTAATTGGATTCTCCTTTGCGTTCTCCTCGTAACAGGCTTGCGTTTGTTTGGACGCAGCTACTCTGGCCTGGAATATGATTATCTGGGACTGTGCCATGTCTATGAGACATTACACGAATTCGAGAAGTATTTGCGCTATGCTCACATTCTAGAGAACTGGCAGCTGCTGCGCGGCCAGAATATAACACAAAACGTAAATGCACTGTTTATACACCTTTTTTTTTTTGCTTAGTTTATAATGTCTAATTAATTTAATTTCCCGTTCCCATCGGCAGAAGTCCAGCTATCCTGCCATCGAGCTGGATTACACCATTGATCAAGTCAAGACCAAGTTCTTCAGCATGAACGTCAAACGCGTGCCTACGCCGCCGGAGCCCAGCAAGAATTGAGTGCAAGCGAATGGATCAAAGTGCATCTGCAATTGGGTCTTGGTTAGGTGTTCTATATACATGAAACATACACACACACACACACACACACACACACACACGCAAATTTAAATTTTGATTTAAACAATGAAATGTTAACAACAAAAAGTGCAGAAGTAGAAGAACCGAAGAAATATTCTAAATTTAATTTTGTTACGTTTTGTATTCCAAACCCAACTCAGGCAACGAAATGGCCTTGAAATGAGTTATCCTCTAATTTAGATACACTCAAACACACACACAGATACACACACCTCGTAATTGGATACAAATACCGAAAATCTTGTACATCCAATAATCGTTCATATTTTAATTCTAAAATACGAATATATGATGTGATTGCCTAACATATATTGATATATATATATATATATATACAGTGTGTATATATTGATTACTGATAATCAATGAATATGTTGTTCAATAATTTTTTAGACCAATCGTTTGTTAAAGGATTTGCAAATGCAAAAGCTGTAGCACAATTTAAAAATTTAAAAATTACAAATTAAATGCTACGCAGACATATAAATATAATGATGTATAAACAAATTAGCTGTTTGATAGTTTAATAATACAATACATAGTTTAGACGCGACGATCCAAACACACACAAACACAAGCACATGAGTGCATCGGATCTTTCGATATATATATATATATAGAACTATATGTAGCGTTGTATATGAATAATGATACATAATTGTTAAATACGTACAAAGTATTTGTATCATCAATCAATCAATCATACGTTAAATTCCCTCCTCTTCCTCTCTAGACACACGCCGCCCAATCGTTTGCGGTATGCGTTTTAAGCTAGCGCCAAGGAATTGGTTCACTTGAATTCCAGTTCTTAAACCTAATCTGTAATGTCCGTTAGGAGCAGGAGTTAGCTTTTCACTTAACTGTGTGACTCGTGAAGCGAAAATTACATAAATAAGTACACTTTATACAACTAACGATACCTATGCCTAGTACTATATATATATATAATATATAATATACAATATGTATAATTAACGACTTATATGCCTAACAACAATATTGTAGCCAACAACAATTTGGCATTGGCATCAACTCGAATGCCCAATCTCAAAATCGTAATAATAAAATGTAAAGCAATAAAAACTATTTCAATAATGATGTATATTATACAAAAGCTTTAGCTTTGGCGCATTAAATACATTTCGAATTTATTGTAATCCAAATCTTTTATCAATCGCCTCAAATAGCTTTCTTTTTGAGAATTTTCTTTACGTTTTATCTCTACAATTCTGCTTTGTATGCCATTTATTAAGTTTTTTGTTGAGCGATTGCGAAGTTGATTGAGTACAGGGTATTCCCTAGTCTGTCATATTAATTAACTCGTACTTGTTTCTTCAATTCCTTGACAGCTGTCACGTTTCCGCAGCTTGTTTTTTTTTCCATTTCCTCTTTGTGCGTGCTTCTTAAACGTTTTACGGGCAGCATAAAACTGCCGTTTTTTTTTTTTGTTCACATTCGTAAAAAGTTTGTGTTTATGCTCGGCCATCACGTATGCATTGTTTTTGGCTTTAAACAATAGACTAAGTTAGTTTGATTTAATTCTGTATAGATTTTAAGAATAAATTCTAATTGAAGGTAGCATAAATTTTCGTCTAGCAAAAATGCAGAACTTCCAGCAGATGGTAAAGCAGCGCAGTTTCATTTGTTCCTGTTTGTTGACAAGGAAGCGATTGCAAAAGCCCAGGACGCTGCCAACCATACCCGAGGAAGAGGGCGAAACCGAATCCGATGTCCTTGGCGAGCTCATCAGCATGCCGGACTTCAAGACGCGCTTGCCGGACCGGCAGGCGGCATTGGTTGAGCCTGTTCCGGCAGACGCGCCATTTCCGATGGCCTTTGCCCATCCTTGTCCCCAAGTGGCGGTCGCTTCCAGTTCGCATCCGAAAAGGAATTGCTTTTAAGCTCGTTTTACCATCGTCGTTGTCTTGCAAATAGTTCCCGTGCCTGATTCTGTTCTAGTCCGCGTACAAACTCGATTTGCCATTTTCCGATCTGGATTCCGAAAATTAGTAGATTGGAAATTAAAATGCCATCCAATGCAGGTGGCGAATCAAATTTCTCAAAATCGGAATCGGTTCGAAAATGAAACCTTTTTTGCTGATTTTTTTTTTTGAATATCTCGCGTAAAAAATACTGATATCTTCCCTTTTATATCAAATCGGACTATTATATCGTATGTTACCTATAGTAACAATCGGGCGTAATTAAAGCTTTTGTTTGAAATGCTTCTAAGGGTATTTAATAGTCGGCTTGTCATATATACTTGTTCCCTCCTTTTAAGATTTAATTAGCAATTAAATTTCTTAGATCTAGTGTTAAGCTCGAAATTAGGAAAAAAAAGGCAAACATAACTTTGCGGTCGAGTACAACCGACTGCTTAATACTCTTTCAGAATAGTTGAAAACATCTTCAGCTACATCGATATTGCCTTTATGCCACGCCCCCTTAGAGGTGGGTAGATCAAATCATAAATGTACAAAGTTATCTTCATAGGTTATCTGTATAGTTTCTGAATAAGTGTAAAACCAATATACTCGCTTTGTCTATGCGAAAGAGCATACAAAAAAGGCCACTTCATGAAATCCCAGCTTGAATGAAAAGTTTAGATTTAAGCAAAGCACTCGTAAATGTTATTTATCTGTTTTTTTTATCTATAATACGATCAGAGCGTTGTTGTCTTTTGTCTGTGTGGGCCAAGTAGTTAGAGCCCATTTTTAATTGTTATTCATTTGGCCCACTGTCACTTTTCTTTGGCGTCGGCGTCGGCAGCGACAGCGGCGGCGACATTGTAAAAGTTGTTTTTAAGTGTTTTCACTTGGGCGATAAAGCAGCATAAAGGTTGACGTTGACGCCGACGCCGACGTCGCAGCCGTCCATTCGGTAGCATTTCAATTGCACTGCAGGCCGCCCACACGCATACGCACACGCACACGCCGACGCACGCACACAAATGCAAAGCTGCCAAAAACATGCAGCACTTGTTGTTGGCAGGCTGCGCGACGGCGTTCGCTGCCATTGAAGCGCAGCTTTTGCTTTTGACACATTTTCGTCTTCGTCGTCGTCGTTCGTCGTCGTTCGTCGATCGTCGCTCAAACTTCGGCTTCGGCAACGGCTCAGCAACTTCGGCTGCCGCCGCTTGAAGCTACATCGATCAGTTGCTGTCTTTGGGCGGCTGCGTACGGTTCGCGCATTTCATTCAGCTTAAGCAGAGCGCGCATGCGTATTGAATATTAACGTGATTTTCGGTCTTGATAGTTGTTGTTATTTTTTGGTTTTTTTTTTTAAAAGTGAAACTGACCAAAACTAAAAGCTGCAGCAAACGTAATGGCAAATGATTATTTATAATTGCGACTGGTTCTTGAAGCGCGTGTTGTTGTTCTTCTTCTTACTGCGGCCAAATGGCGGCCAGCGCTTGGCCAGGCCCAAAGCTGGGGCACAGATGCAGATACATTGATTATGGCCAAAGTGCTGCAGCTCTTATGGGCCCACACGGCCTCAACTGGCCGAGTTTCACCCAAAACGCTTGTGAAACTGGCACACACACACACCAACACACACACACACACGCACGCGCAGACATTTCAACAGCGAACAAAAAAAGGAGAGACAATCGTCTGGGAATGGTTATGGGAATGCCACAAGCCGCATTTGTCAACTTCGCATCGCATGTGGCAGCTGCAACAAACCCCATCATTATGTTTCAACATTATTTATTGTTTATCACGAACTGTGCACAACCAGTTATCATCAGCATCAGCATCAGCATCATTCCCAATTCCCCAATTCCCATGCCCATGATTAGCGACACTGTGCGAAGTGCAGCCAGGCAGGCCCATTAGGTACCCTACCTCAACAGCAGTACGGCTATTGTTCCAGATCTGTGCATATGAATCGTGCGATAAATAAGTTATTAAAATCTCAAAACGATTGCAACCGACTACGCAATACCCTGTTTATGGTTTAAAACAAAAACCAACTGAGTACGGCTAAACATTGCAGCTGGAGACTGTAAAACTGTTACTTGAAGGCAATGAACCTCAAACTGTGACTTTCAAACTGCAACAGTTCTGGGCATCAGTAGTACAAAGAGCATCTGAATGCAGTTAATATTGTGGCTAGTGACTCTCAAACTGTTATCCCAAGTGAATTTCAAACTGTAGCAGTTCTTGAAATCGCAACTGAAATGCAACCGACTGTGTTTTGTGTAGAAAAGGTAACTAGCAACAGTTTCAATTGAGGCTACAGTGACTCTCAAACTCTTACACTAAAGCAGCGCATTTCAAACTGTGACTTCCCAACTGTATAAGTTCTTGGAATCGCATTATTGATGCAATAGTTTATGCCTTTATTAAAAAAAATCATCTGAGCGCATCTAAAATAGCAACCAGTAGCTTTAAAACTGTCAACCCAAAGCAATGCATTTCAAACTGTTATTTTTAAAACTCTAGCACATAAGAATTACATTGATTTGCATAAGAATTTCCTTTCCCCAATTGCTGAAAAGAGTTCAACTTCAGGAATATATGCACCTAAAGTTGTGTGGGAGCCAATATACCTTTATTGACACTGGGAACAGAGTAAAACTATAAACTTGTTGAATCTTAACCCCACTCATTTAGCTCGAACTCCGCTTAAGTTTTATGCGACTTACTCGAACGTGTAGCCTAATTGAAAAGTTTAGTGTAAAGGTTAAAAGTCTGCGTGAGTAGCGAGTTTTAAATTAATGACACTAGTTTTTATTTAACTAGCAGTTGGCTCGAATAAACTCACATATTTGAAGGCCAAACAAGAAATGAGAGTTATTGTCCGGCCCCCTACAAGCATAATGCAATTATACGATTTCCCATGATAATACAGACGCGGCTGCTACTGATCAGATTATCTGTAGGGGTATCAAAAGGAGCGAGTCAAAGGTTTAAGCCATAAGTTGCGAGCCATAAGTTGCGAGCCATAACGAGTTATATGTATGTGTGCAATTAAAAAAACCACAAAATCGGACGATTGAATAACGAGTGAAAACAACGAGTAATATGCTTAACGAGTAGGCAATCGTTATTTAGTTGGTTTGAAAAGGATTGCCACATAGATCATTTAATTTGTTAGTTATATCCGTGCAGTAACTGAAAACTGAAAGATCTAACTATTCAATAACGAGTGCTTACAACGAGTGCCAAGCTTAGCGAGTAGGTACTCGTTACTTGAGATGGCTGAAAGAGTAACTGCAATATGTATGGCTAAAGACCCATTAACCAGTGGACTGCAATGGCAAGTCTGCAAGTAACGAGTAGCGAGTAACGAGTGTCAATTTTAACGAGTAGACTCTCACTCGTTAGCAGGAGATGCTCATACAGAGGCTAACTGGAGATTGCAGCGTGTTCAAGTTTCGTTTTCGATGACACCAAATGCTTGAAACGCGCTCTTGCTAAACATTTTCACACGCAGCGACAGCAACAACAACAACAACAACAGTACCGAGTCAATTTGAACGAGTGGAGCGAATTTTATAGCCAATGCGCATTGGTAACTTCTGGAAATATGAACATGCCGCACAGCACGAACAACTCCATGAACGGCGGCTCGATCGAGCATCGCTTTAATCGGCGGTTCGTCTGTGATGTGTGTGTTTAAGTTATAGTTTTGTGTTCATGGCTCTCTTTTTTTTTTTTTTTTTGGTCTTCTACTAAATGAAAAAACAAAACTGGAGCAAATTAACCGAGATTAAAGCCCACAATTAAGCGTGCGCCCAATGTGAAAGTTAAAACCGCGAACTTGCAAACCAGTTGAGAGTTGGCAATTGTTGTTGCTGTTGGCGCATCTGCAGCTGCCACTTTTACTGCACCAACAACAGCAACAACAGCAACAACAACAACAACAACAACGACGACGACAACTTGAAAGACAGGCAACAACTTTAGCGGGTCAACAACGAAACGTCAACGAATTTCGCCCACGGCCGAGTTTTACTTGGCTTTTGTTAGGCTCATGCTTCACTGACCTATGCCAAGATAACGTGTTTGCAGTCCATGTTGTTGTTGCTGTTTCTGTTGCTGTTGTTGTTTTTTATTGATGGCTTGCGGCTTATGCAAAGCTTTGCACTTTTGAACCCCACATGC